TAAGTGGATAACGGGATGGTGTTTGAAATGAATGACACTGAGTCCGAGTCCCAGAGTGAACATCAACTCTGAGATGTTGATTCATCATCCAGCTGACGAGTCACAAACAGGACGAAATGTGCATCAAACTGGATCCCATTGCTAGTCACTATCCATCTTTTTTTATCATATTTGTGAGTTAGGGCAATAAACACAGTATACACATATGTCAATGAGACTGATCAATTGCAGTCCTAAACATCAATGGGAAGTTTTAAGTAAATAATACCAAGTTAATTTATTTATAAAATAGTTTTACAAAATTAATCATTTAACAAATACAAGTCGACGACGTTTGCATTTTTCCCGTTGATCAAAGTTACTCAAAGCGTTAATATAATAAGTTTAATAGTAGTCATTATAATTGATATATGGAGTTTAATTGTTTATAATGTACATAAGCATATTCATTATCTGTAGTTTATAGTTCCAATCAATAACAAATCTCATGAGGCGGGATTGTGGATACTCACTGTTGAAGAGTTCCACAACAGAACAAAACGGCTATTCAGTGCTTCCAGGTTTTCCATGGTGGTCTAGCTTGATCATGATCTCAATTATTAAAATGCTTATAATATCCACAAAATACCCCCCTCCTGATATAAATCATAATTAGCCAATGAAATGTTAAGATGATTTAATCCCTTAGGTCATACTTTAGACGTATCAGATATTGAATGATTTCGATAAATCATAACAAAGCAGAGTGAATAAATAATATGACATTGTATGAGCTTGATAAATACATAATTCTATAGATAAATGATTATAATACAGTTAGTTGTATAATGATACATTGCTCTGTGGATGAGATTACAACGAGATAATAGAAAATGTATTGCCCTACACATTTGTAAATTTGTCAAGACTAGAACATATAAAATTGTTATGACTTTCCTGTTTTCTGAAATCCCCCTTCGTCAATTGTTATGACTAGTCGGCGTTGATCATTATGATGATTGCGTTACAAATTGTGTTTTATCTAGTTGTCACTGATTTATATGTTGGAATCATTTATCATTTATACTTGAATACAAGGAATTACTGCAATTCCTTTAACGTATAAGTAAGAACACAAAGACTGATATAAGTGAAGATTTAATAACCCTAAAACGAAAGTAATGTTGGAAAAAAAAAGTCATCCTGACATATCCAAGCCGTTACCAGTGGAGTACAACCAGGTCTGTTGTGAGATATCAGCTCACTGAAGACAATGGTATGTGGTGGCGCGACTTCGTGGATTGGTTGAAGTTAGACATTAACACCGTTGGATGCCGGCTCAGTGGTCTAATGGTTAAGTGTTCGCGCGCGAAGCCAGTAGGTCCTGGGTTCGAGCCCCGCGTGGTGCGGGATCGTAGATGCGCACTGCTGAGGAGTCCCATACTAGGACGAAACAGCCGTCCAGTGCTTCCAGGTTTTCAATGGTGGTCTAGCTTCAACTGACTCATGATTTCAATCTGTGAAAATTTCTAAAAATCTCCACAAACCCCTTCTGATATCCAAAATAGTCTTGAATAACTGTGGATCTCAGTAGATAAATGATTCATGAACTAGTATATAGAATGTCGTTGTATTACCAAGATTATCATGTTGAATGTACAATATAGATAAAATCTGTTTATCATAGTTGACAGATATCCTTAAGTATGAATTGTAGTCATGATTATAATAATATGCTTTCAACAGAACAGCTTATCAGAGATATATATAACGGAAAGTTCATTAGTCATTTCCCCTTTTTAAGTCATGAACATTTGGATCTTAGTTATAACATAATATTCCAAGTAGAAAACATTGATTTAATGTAGACTAAAACTTCTAAAACTCCGTCTGTAGCACTCCTAGAGTTACTACCGCTCTCAAGACGTAGAAAAGAAGGATAGTTGAGCATGAGGTCAGCAACCCAATCCGGTAGAAAAAAATCTTTATAAAAAACTGGTGAGCAGCCTATGTTTATCCACGAGGGATAACAGGCCTAAGTAACTAAGTAGGTAAGAAATTCTAAACAACTTACTAATTAAAAACTGTCATTCGGACAGAGTACATCCAGCTGACAAGTCCCAAATCGGACGAAACGTGCGTCAAACTGGATTCCACTGCTAGCCACTATCCATCGAGGCAATCCGCACAGGATACCCATATGCCAATTAGAAAGACTGATCAATTACAGTCCTAAATAACAATGGGAAGATTCAAGTAAAAAAATAATATCAAGTGAATGCCATTCAGACAGATTTATCTTCAAACTATGTATCTTTCAACACCTATGAAGTATGAGAAAGTCGATATTGTTGTTCAAATGATGTGTATATCTTACAATAAATTAATATCGAAGTTATTCCAAGAAGGTTTTAGCCAACAATCAAAATGGTTATACATAACTACTATCTCAAGATATATGAACTAGGTGTTGGGCTACTGGATAATTCACCACATCACATGTTCTTGAAGAAGGCCGTCAGTTTTTGTGTGGTTTAACATGTTCACATGTATCTTGCTACGTTATATATTGTAGAATACAACCAAAATGTGGATATTATCCTTTCCATTGGATTGAATAAATAAACAGAAGTACATTACATCTATAATGGAAATGTAATTGAATAATTGTATATCGAATGTTTTTCGATTTTCAGGAAAGTTTTCACCAGAATTATCCACGGAGTTTACTGAAAAGATTCACTATTTTGGTATCAAGAATTTGTGGAGACTGTATATTTTCATAGATTAAATCATGAACTAACCTCAGCTAGACAACCATAGAAAATATGCAGTAACTCCATGTCTATTTCGTTATAGTATGGGACTCTTCAGCCACGAGCATCGATGACCCTACAACCGGGGATCGAAAATAACACCTTCGGCTTCACACACGATTGACCACTGAGCCTCTAAGCATCAGCGTTAATATCTAGCTTCAATTAATTCACAATATTTTCCTACCGTTTATCTACTGGCTGCCGTGGTAACTTTCTCGCACTCTACATGCACTGTACTTCATTAGAGGTTAAGAGTTTGCACATGAGACCTAACGTCCTGGGTTGGATTCCCCGTTGTACGGTCGTAGATGCACACTGTCAAATAAACCCAAACTAGAATGAAACGGTCATCAAGCGGCCATCAAGTTACCAGTGGTGGTCTAACTAATTGAAATTGGCCAAGTTTAATTATAAACAAAACATTTTTTTTGAAAAAAATACTAGTGAGACTATAATATATGGACGACCTTTAAGCGAAGCTAAATAGGACTTGAGAGTATTTACCTACTAACTTGGACCAAATGTGGGGCATTAAAGCAGTATGGAAAATTGGATCTCTAGTGTTCATCACGAACTGATATATAAATTAAAATGTTAAAACGCCATGAACGAATATCGCGCTAAAATCCGACCCCTATTATCTTATAACTGGTTGGTTCATCTATAGTTCCGTTTAAAATACTTTTTAATTATCTGTTACTCCTCGTGGAGTAGCATAAGTCACCCATCAGTTTGACTAGCGTTTTTTTAAGGGAGTTAATTTTCTGAGGGATGGATTCGGTAACCCCATACTCAACCCTTCACCTTTACTCGGGCTTGGAATCGGAGGTAACTCTAGAAGAGCTACAGGTGGAGTTGCCTGAAATACTAGTCGATTTCATTTTGAGGTGTAAATCTTATATTGAATTCATTATTGTAGTTTTTCAATTTAATCGATTAAGAATGTACTTTTTTTCTATCTGATATAAGTTAAGTAAATTGATGAAAAAATATTGAGGTTAATTTTATTTTCTTTAATTAAAAATATTTTGATTTTAATAACCATAGTAACAAAGTATTTGAATGAATGTAAGGTCATTTAAAAGGTTAATTAGTTAGTAAGATAAGTTTTAAAGTCACTTGGTTTTGTTTGGCTTGTATCTTCCCATTGAGGTTTAACACCGCAATCGATCAGTCTGTTATTGGCATATGTGCACACTGTGCGTATGCCTCGATATTACCTTAATTCACAAGTGATTTGTCAGCAATGATGGATAGTGGCTAGCAGTGAAATCCAGTTTGATGCACGTTTCGTCCTATTTGGGACTCATCAGCTGAATATACCTGCAAATGATATCAAGTGAATTTACATTCATCGCATTGCACAAGCAAGTGGCTATCAGGACTCAGTAGCTGAGTAGATAACACAGTGGCGTTTGAGGTGAACGGTACTGGGGTTGAGTCCCAGAGTGTCCATTAACTCTGGGATGCAGGTACATCATCCAGCTGACGAGTCCTGAATAGGACGAAACGCGCGTCAAACTGGATTCTACTGCTAGCTACTATCCATCATTGCTTACAAAAAGATATGTTTTAATTTAATTTCTTTTTTTATTATAAATTAGATACATCATTTTAAACTAGCCATTACAATGATTTGACTGATCTATTGTCGAATGATTAGGAGCCTACACAAGTTAGATGGAAATAGTGTAATGAACAGTCCTACCTCGAGGTCAGTATTTAATGTGAATTACTCCTTTGTTGCATCAAGGTATTATAGATACTTTGAAGATCGTACAATACAAAGGACATTATCACAGAAATATAACATTTTAAGTCGGTACAATCGGAAGTGTGATCATGACATCATAGGCTAGTCCATGACGTACGGTTAACCGATGCGTGTTGTTTGTCCTTTGACCTTAAAAGAGATCAATGACCTGTTCGATATTTACTGACCCAGGTGCCGAATGATTTGGCTATGGTTCAGTGGAATTTCACTGATCCTACAAATACTATATTGTGAAAAATCTCTGGATGTGTAGAAATCTATGATTCCCAGTATTTTTGTATTGTACTGACAGAACGTAACTTCACTCAATCAAAATTTGTACCCTACATTACATTATATTATAAAGAATAATTAACAGGTTGATTGCAATCAACACAGAATGTATGATTTCTTCCATGGGTCATATATTTCAATTCATCATTACGTAATCACAGTTGTCTTGCAGTAGTAGTAGTAGTAGTAGTAGTAGTAGTAGTAGTAGTAGTAGTAGTAGTAGTAGTAGTAGTAGTAGTAGTAGTAGTAGTAGTAGTAGTAGTAGTAGTAGTAGTAGTAGTAGTAGTAGTAGTAGTAGTAGTAGTAGTAGTAGTAGTAGTAGTAGTAGTAGTAGTAGTAGTAGTAGTAGTAGTAGTAGTAGTAGTAGTAGTAGTAGTAGTAGTAGTAGTAGTAGTAGTAGTAGTAGTAGTAGTAGTAGTAGTAGTAGTAGTAGTAGTAGTAGTAGTAGTAGTAGTAGTAGTAGTAGTAGTAGTAGTAGTAGTAGTAGTAGTAGTAGTAGTAGTAGTAGTAGTAGTAGTAGTAGTAGTAGTAGTAGTAGTAGTAGTAGTAGTAGTAGTAGTAGTAGTAGTAGTAGTAGTAGTAGTAGTAGTAGTAGTAGTAGTAGTAGTAGTAGTAGTAGTAGTAGTAGTAGTAGTAGTAGTAGTAGTAGTAGTAGTAGTAGTAGTAGTAGTAGTAGTAGTAGTAGTAGTAGTAGTAGTAGTAGTAGTAGTAGTAGTAGTAGTAGTAGTAGTAGTAGTAGTAGTAGTAGTAGTAGTAGTAGTAGTAGTAGTAGTAGTAGTAGTAGTAGTAGTAGTAGTAGTAGTAGTAGTAGTAGTAGTAGTAGTAGTAGTAGTAGTAGTAGTAGTAGTAGTAGTAGTAGTAGTAGTAGTAGTAGTAGTAGTAGTAGTAGTAGTAGTAGTAGTAGTAGTAGTAGTAGTAGTAGTAGTAGTAGTAGTAGTAGTAGTAGTAGTAGTAGTAGTAGTAGTAGTAGTAGTAGTAGTAGTAGTAGTAGTAGTAGTAGTAGTAGTAGTAGTAGTAGTAGTAGTAGTAGTAGTAGTAGTAGTAGTAGTAGTAGTAGTAGTAGTAGTAGTAGTAGTAGTAGTAGTAGTAGTAGTAGTAGTAGTAGTAGTAGTAGTAGTAGTAGTAGTAGTAGTAGTAGTAGTAGTAGTAGTAGTAGTAGTAGTAGTAGTAGTAGTAGTAGTAGTAGTAGTAGTAGTAGTAGTAGTAGTAGTAGTAGTAGTAGTAGTAGTAGTAGTAGTAGTAGTAGTAGTAGTAGTAGTAGTAGTAGTAGTAGTAGTAGTAGTAGTAGTAGTAGTAGTAGTAGTAGTAGTAGTAGTAGTAGTAGTAGTAGTAGTAGTAGTAGTAGTAGTAGTAGTAGTAGTAGTAGTAGTAGTAGTAGTAGTAGTAGTAGTAGTAGTAGTAGTAGTAGTAGTAGTAGTAGTAGTAGTAGTAGTAGTAGTAGTAGTAGTAGTAGTAGTAGTAGTAGTAGTAGTAGTAGTAGTAGTAGTAGTAGTAGTAGTAGTAGTAGTAGTAGTAGTAGTAGTAGTAGTAGTAGTAGTAGTAGTAGTAGTAGTAGTAGTAGTAGTAGTAGTAGTAGTAGTAGTAGTAGTAGTAGTAGTAGTAGTAGTAGTAGTAGTAGTAGTAGTAGTAGTAGTAGTAGTAGTAGTAGTAGTAGTAGTAGTAGTAGTAGTAGTAGTAGTAGTAGTAGTAGTAGTAGTAGTAGTAGTAGTAGTAGTAGTAGTAGTAGTAGTAGTAGTAGTAGTAGTAGTAGTAGTAGTAGTAGTAGTAGTAGTAGTAGTAGTAGTAGTAGTAGTAGTAGTAGTAGTAGTAATAGTTATATACTCTTTTAATGATGGATCCACCAAGATGGATCATTGTATATAGACTTACAGGTTTGTTTCTCGATGACTTTCCACATTTTTCTAATCAATCAAGACTCTTATTACATTCTAGAAGTAGTGATTTCGAACTAAGGTGAGAACAACCGCTTACATTTGTTACTTGATTACTTGGCGAAATCGAATTATCATAGTCCGATTCTACAATTGCAAAATTTTCATTAATTACTTTCTGTTCCCGTTCTTCTCTCCTCGATATTCTCAACTCTCTACTGCCAGACATTCAAAACCTGATTAACGGTATATACTACTTATATCGATATAAGTAGTAAACACCACACATCATTATTTGATTGATTCTTCTTTGAAATGTTCAATGTATTTTCTATTACATGAAAGTATAAATCATGAAAGAACATCATTAAACAGATCAAGAAGTAATAAACACTAAAGAAATTCATAGATTTTCTGATTTGTATACAAACCAAAATACCATTCACTTGATCTTTATTCATTCACTGGTTTTCATTTGTGATTTCATTTCTAAAGTATTCAAATGCATAGAATAACATTCATCAATGGATGTACTTACAATTCAGTTAGCCAAGTGATATGAAAAAAACAACATGGTATATGATTAAGAAACAATCAAGATGAATAGACAGTATTGGAAGTTACTTGTTTCCAAAGTTATCTGGGTAATTTACAATATACTACTGTAGAGAAGGTAGTTCTGGTGCGGATAATCAATCTGTCCGTAAAATATGAAAATCATAGAATGAATACTTCATTTGCACATCTTTTATCAGTTGTCTTTTACATTATTTATGATTGTTTTAATTTCTTTCTGGTCTCTTTTAGTTCAATCTTCTTTTGACAAGTACTCCACTTTTGACTGGTGTTGCATACTACTTACATCTGTTAATATAAGTAGCATATACTACACTATTACTAATTGAATTCAAAAAACTTTTTTCATATTCCCCTTTCAAATTATTCACTTGGTAAATTGGAATGATAGTGATACAGTTAGAATTTGTAGTAGGACACAATAGTTTAGTGGGTTTACTGGTTCCATGGTACTTTGAACAAGAAAGAGACCTGAAGTAATTACATCTAATAGATTTCAATTCATAATAAAAAAATGTGTCTGGAATATTCTGGGATCATCAGTAATTTCGACAACAAAACATTTACCATTCACTTGATTTTGTTTTACTTGTATCTTCCCATTGTTATTTAGGACTATAATTGATAAGTCTCTTGTTGGCATATGTACATTCTGGATTCCACGGCTAGCCACTATCCATTTGTTTGCTTAAAAACATTTACCAGTTACTAGTTTACAGATAAATAGATTTTATGGAGGTTTCAGAAGCCTTTAGGCCTCTTACAAAAGAGCAAATTGTAGCCTAAAATTGTTCTTCAAAACACTATACTACATGTTGACCATAGTACAGAAAAATATCTTTCTCTGTTTCGAATGTTTACAGCCTTAATCAACATGTATTGAAACTGAAATTCACTAGGAAGCTTCCTTTTTTCAGAATCACTCAACATTAAATATGTCATGTATAGAATAAGAATGAATTTCGCTGTGAAATTTCGATTCAATCAAGTAATATGCTTTTTCACTTTCTGACCACGCACCTCTTCTGATGTCTTCATTTTTTATGTGTTACGTTACACTACTTATTGATAGTCAGTAGTTTGAGTTATTATGCATTATTTCAATGGGTTTCATGTGGTGTTGTATTGTTGTCATTTGATTGTTCATTGGATGGTAATCAATGTCATGTGTGTCAAGTCCTTCTTAGTGTCTATCGAATGCTATCGACCAGATCCAGGGTTTTCTGATGACTACTTCCAACTACCATTCTATTTCAACAGAACTGTATTGTGTTGTTAGATCTTAGAAAACTACTTATCTTGTCATTTTGTACTATTATTTCAATAGTTTAGTTCATTTTTCCTGCTTATAATAGTATTTGCCTATCCCTAACCTCTTTTGTATTTCTTTTGTGATGTACATTTTGATATATATAAGTTCTGTATTGTTCGCTGATTTACAGTACACATTATAATTTAATGCTTGTTTGCTAATTTGAAGGACAAACCTTTTTAGACCATACTGTATCAACATAATAAACACTTGGAAGCTTCATAACCCACAGTCTATAAATTCATAATATCTATGTTATTTATCATGAACAGGTTGAACAATCTTAGTCTTGACAATATAGTCTATCGAAGTATTGATTGATAAGTATCACTGAATCACTTGCCTAATTTCTGTTCCTTTAGCTTAACTTGTGATAAATAATGATTGTTTAAAGTCACATATATTAAAATCCATGAGTTTTTTTTTATAGGCTTGTTCAACAAATTGTCCAAATGAGAAAACATGTGAAATGATTAGAAAGCTACAAACCCTACGCTCCTTTATAAGTATACTCAGCAAGCTGTTCAAATGAGACAAACTGTGCAATTTGTAGAATCGAATAATTGGAAACATAAATCCCTGATGTACATACACTTGTTCTTTTAAAATGATCAAGTTTATGAGTAGTATAAACTTGAATAAGATTATAGTGGACTTCGTCAAGTAGTTTTTAAATGTTTTTTTTATTAATAACCTACTGTTTGACATTGAGAAGTTATGTTAATATAAGTAATGTGATGTGACTAAACTGACCAACCCTATGAAAAAGTCAAGTTCTATTGTCAAATATTTTTACATCTCCTTGTGATTACGATACTGGTCTGAGAAATCCCATTCAACATTGATTCGTTTTTTTATCAGTTAACTTCTGTTCAGATAATTATTATTAATTCTCTAGATCGTACCTAATGTGTTAAGAACAATCTGATGTCTTGGTTATGGAACCCTATAACTAAGTCGGTTATTAGCTTTCCATTTGACTGGTCTTCCCGGTCTCCCACATTATTCGGACGTTCCATGTATCTATAAAATTTGTTGTTCTGGTTGTTAGGAGGGGCATCAGCCTCGTGGCTTCCGAAGGAACTTGGCTTTCACCTTGAGGCGGCATACTTCTTCTAAATGAAGACCTTCTAACTCCCAGGGCAGAGTTTAAATGATTTTAATTATTTTTTTCCGGTTGGCGTTTTTTTAGCGAGTTCGTTTTCTACAGCATTGGGTCGCTAAACCCATGCCCAACCATCCTCGTTTACCCGAGCTTGGGACTGGCAGTAATTCTAGAAGAGTTACAGGCGGAGTTGTTATTAGCTTAGTATTTTTATATCTAAGTTCATAAATTCGATAAACCTAATTTTAATTTTTTTTTATTTAAAATTTTAACTACTCATTAGTAACAAAATAAATTAACTGTAATTTCAGATCGATTTCAATGGATCATATCTGAAATTTAAAAGTATTTGAAGATGGTACAATATTTGAAATACCAATGATTGCAATCATTGCAAATGACTTGTTTCCTCCATATATACATATTCAAATATTTAAAGACCAATGTATGGAAAACTTGTATAAACACATTCAAAGTAGTTACTAATCTGTTCCATAAATGACTGGTGTCTTTTTTTAAAATAATTTTTTTAGTTATAACTGTATTGTTGAAATCCAACTAGTAAGATATCTGAGTGAATGTTGTGTGATTACCAAATCGTGCAATAATGAATTAAAATCCAAGTATCTAATAAGTACATGATTATTTCGATAGTTGAGATCATCAGTCAATTGAAGCTAGATCACCATGGAAAAACTAGAAGTACAATTTGTAAGTATTTCATCGGTGTTTACTGAAAAGCTTAGACATAATCTAATGTTATATAAGGTGATCAAATTTAGTTGAAAGTAAACCCTCAAACTTAGACTTCTAGCAAGTTGGTTATCGTTAACAATGCCTATCTGTGAGATTTCAAATTAAGTCAACCGATCTCAGAGTTTGAGACTCTATTAATAGAGTATTCAGGCTGCAAACGACTTAAGTCCCAACGATATCAGATTTTGCAATTCTTTGTGTTGATCGAATTCTGTCGATCAAGTTGTACTGTTGATACTAGTCTAAGTGAATCGATCTACAAGGACTAGCAAAACTGCGTTATTATTTAAACCATAATAATCAAATGATGTTCTACAAACTTTTCTTTCCTGTAAGAGTACTTTAGTAACTTACATGCTCGATTACTTATTTACTTACTTCCTTACTAATCTACCTGATTGCTTAGTTACTTACCTACATACTGAGCTCTTCTTTCGGGTTGCTAATAAGTGCTGTTCATTCCTTTGACATTTGCATCCAACTCCCAGTGCCATATGCCCTTTGATCTGCTTCTTCTCCGTTCGCTTTGAGAAATATGGTCTAAAGCTTGCTTCTTGATGGTGATAGATGATTTCCGCAATATGTTTCCTATTAATCTTTTGGGTGTTCTCATAATTTCCTCTCCAGAAAGAGGCTAGTTTCTCCCCTACAAATGAAGGTTATTAATAATGATGACTGCTGAGTGGATCTGAAGTGTCTTGAATATACATCCCACAATAAAATTCTCTACTTTATCGGTGATGGTTGTCATGTTCCACCAAGTTTCATTTTCGTACAATAAAGGTGTTTTAATATATGTGTTTATTAAGTGTACCTTCAGTGTTGCCTGACAGTTGTTCTGATTTGGAAATGTTCACCAAATCCTTGCGTTTACAACTGCATCAGATCCACCTTGTTCACTGATAATTCTCCTCAGGTATATGAAAGATTTCACATCATCCAGAGTTCTTCAATCAAATGCGATTGTGTTGGGGTTTTCTGTGTATTTAAGTATATCGCTTCTTCCCTTGTTGAGGCTTAGTAATGCAGAGGCTGCTGCTACACTAATTATCTTAATCTGAATTTTTTGGTGTGTAGGGACTAGAAGATCATGGTTGTCTGTGAAGTCCGAATAGTCTAGTTGCATACAAACTGTTCACTGTATCCCGTGCTTTCCCTCAGATATCGAGGTCTGCATTATCTAATCAACAACCGAAGGATAAAGAAAGTGGGAGAATAAGCTGTCTTGTCTGGCACTGGTCGTCACTTGGAATGCATCTGTCAGCTGTTCTGCATGCACGACTTTGCACTGTAGTCCATCGTATGAATTCCATATGATGTTGACGATCTTCTTAGGTATACCACAGTATTAACGAAGGTCTCATAAAGTTCTCCTATCCACACTGCCAAGCGTTTTCTCATAATTAAGGAAACTGATGTTCATTGACGAGTTCCATTCAATTAGTTTTCTGACAATGGTTGCCATTCAATTACTAGAAAATTCAGCTGGTTGATCTTGATCATGGACAGTTGGCAAATCTTTCATTTAGTTCACATCACATGAAGAATTTGTCTACCACTGATAATAGTGATGTACCTATAATTCTCACAATTTCTAAACTCTTATAGTGACCCACTGATCTGATTTCATTTTGAACGAACAGTGATGTTAACAAAGTATAGGGACCACCAACCCTCGTATATAATCACCAACGTAATTCGCGTTAAGAATAACCAAATATATCAAGTCAAGTAGAAAAATGGGTTTGGACATATATTTTACATTTTCTTGACTCAAACAGTCAGTGAGACGAAGCACAGAGGCAAAACAGTGAAGGCAAGTGTGCCAAGAACACTTGATGAAGCATAACTCAGTATCTATATCCTAAAATAAATGAGCTGAAAACGTATGATGAGTAGGGTAAGCGATACACACGCAATCTCACAAAAACGATTTAGATTAGCGAGAGAATAATTTACAAGGTCGAAATGTGTGATTCAAGATGAACAAATAAACTGGTCTATCCGGAAAATGGAATAAACCGTCTGAGTTTCGCATAGTGCTTGCTAAGTCTGTTTTACGTTCCCTATTCTTATTCACTTCCATGCGACTCTTTCGTGTATTGTTTTATACTACTAATTAGTATACCGTAAATAGTTGTATTCCTAACAGTTACTAAGCTTATATTGTAACGCAAGTTATCGTGTGATTTTGTGAAATATTTGCATATACTCATAACATTTATTTTACTCATCATTATAATCACTTTATCTCAATAAATGTAGCAGTTATTAGCGATATTGTATGATCATCTATCCCTTGTTTAAACACAACGGTTTCCATATTGCTTGCTCTTAGTTTCCAAGTTGGCTTGTTTATAAACCGTTGTCAAGTTCAGGCACAGTCAATGGCTGTCATGTTGCACTATATAAGCCTTTGTATTTCAGACAGAAAGACGCAGCAAACGCCACAAACTCCTCACAATTTGAGATTTGTAGCTAATTTTTGAATATTATTCAATAAAGAACCACTAGTTCAGACAAATCGTTGCTTTATGAAACTTTGATTTTGCATGTATCTCAGTTGGGTGATTTGGACGTTTCGAGAGACTTAACACTGCTAAAAACTACAACCTCCCTTACTCAATATCTCGATGAGTTATCCCTCTTTCCAGTCTTTCGGCACCTGTTTTACCTTCTTATGTCGTTCTGAAGAAAATTCGGAGCAATTTTTTAGCCTCTCCATGTCTGGTTTCAGTACATTTTCTGTCTCATATCTTTGCTGATGTTTCCGACTATTGCAGGGGTATAATTTATGAAGCCTTTGTGTGCTGCTACAATGTCTGGTATGTTCAGTTACGCTAATCTAGTCAAGAGCTCATCGAAAGGGTTCTACTCAACTGTTCTGTTACTCTTGAACATCAGTGATCGGCTCCTTTATTTTTGCCTTTTCGCTCTGAACTGCTTCACTTTCCTCAATATGTCATGATTGTTTGATATTTCCTTCTCTTGAAGCTTTGTGTGGTGTCATGACTAGGTCTTCATACTCCCATTTATCGGCCTAATTCTTCTCTTCTCTTGATTGTTTCCCTTTGTGAATTCAGCTTGTCCATTGGCTTTCGCTGCTCTTGTTCGACTGTTGGTACTTACTGTCCTATTATTTTTACATTCTTGAATCCTGAACATGTGTACCAAGAGTGATCTTTTCTTTATAATGGTGTTTCTTGCCGCTCAGCACCACCTGGCACAATTACGTGAGTGCTTCTTTGACTGCTTTACAGTAGTTTCCTCCTCATT